TCAGTCTGTCAGTTCGTCATTCCATTAGTCTGTCAGTTCGCCATTCCGTCAGTCTGTCAGTCTGACAGTCGTGTCAAACACGCTTCACGCCAACAGGTCTCTAATTTCACCTCGCCTGTCTGCGCTTTCTTTCGTCCATTGCACTGCGCTCCGGTTTTAGCTTCTAGTTGATGTTCCATCCACACCAGCCATACACTCAAATTAAAAACAGTATCAGAACAGGGTAAGCTATCACCATTAAATTAAAGCAGGGTTTACTTAGCTCAATTATCACTTGTGCAAGTGACGAAATAATCTCTCAAATAAAGCTAATCCTAATTTATTTTATTAATTAAATGTTGACTCTCCAACATTATTTCGAAAATGAAAATTCATTTTAAAAATTAAATCACACCGACGATCTACATCCATCATAAAAAGGAGTTTCTTTTATAGGAAATATCAAAGCATTTATAAAAACTAATCTAAAAATGGAAGTACGCATAACTATGTAATGAAGTTTTTATATACACAGACTGTTTTTTTAAGAAATTGTATATTCATAATAACTTTTTTGGGAGAGCTAACTTTTGTTTACTTTAAATTAAACAATCATTCTATTCGGCATATAAAAATAAAAAGATAAAGTGGCTAAGCTGTAAAACAAAAACCACTGATCATAGTGCAATTTTTGTAACACGAAACCGTTTTTGAATCAAAGCAGAATCTGTTTACAAAATGTTCAAAGTGTTTGGCCTCTTTTCGCGTCGTCAAAGGGGATGCTAGCCCCCCCCCTAGAGGCCCGCCCCTGCCCAGCGCCACCCCCGCAGGGGGAGGGGGTGTTTGGTGAGCGCTAATAGATTTTGTATTAACGGGAAGGGCGGCGCACCGCACCCGTTCACACGCATGACCGAATTCCCATTTTACGCCCCGTCTCATCCGGGGAACACGGGCCAAAAGTCCCAGCGGAATCGATGCGGCATTATTATTATCATTATTAAAGGAGTCGATATGGCGATGGTAAATCCCGGGCAATGCGAATAATATGCCACATGTCCAACCCACTTCATCGTGTCTATTTCGCCGCCCCCTTTTCCGAAAGCCACAGGCGGCGACCGCAATTTGTATCTGTGTGTTTTGTATCTTTGTCTGCACTCGTGGGCGTTGCACATGTCGGTATTAGTGGCCAAGATCTGCAGCCCAGTTAAATGGGTAGCGTACTGACCCCTTCCAATCCGCTGATTTTACATTCACTTGTTCAAATTTATCACTACTGCAGTCTAAGTATTAGGCTTTGTAAAAGCAAGATTTCCCTGCCAAATAATAATACTTTAACTTACAAAATGACTCATATACAAAAACTTGCCAGAGATATGATTTTTAGTTAACACAGTGATCCTTACATTGTTTATCATATACAAACATAGGGAAACATTATTATTATTATGTTCAAAATAATGGGAACAAATAGTATGCAAACATCTTCACAATAATTAGTAAAAGTAAGCACAACTCACTTTTTTTTAAATCATGGAATTTTTAATTCAAATTCCTTCCATAACAAATAATTGACAGATCGAAGGCTTGTTTTTTGTGTTTAGTTCTTGAATTGGTACTTTCTCGTTCCGATTGTTATTTTGTCGTGCAAATGATAACAATAAAACTTCTTTGTTTTTATGGTTTTTCTCTTATAATTATTATGCTTTGGTGAAGTTCCAGTGCATCGGCTTCAATTGCAAACTTATACATATACATATGTGTGCTTAAAATCCCCAATCTGCACTGCTTTGAAGTGTGTGCGTGTCTGCCCATTGAAACAAATTGTAATTAAATGAATGTATTCCATGGCGCAAGGAATGGAAGCCGGAGGCGGGATCTCGGTTCATTCGGGGTCACCATGTCAACCGATTCGGGAAGCGGCAGGTGGAAAGGGGTCAGGGGTCAGGGGTTGGGAAAACTGGGAACGCGGTTGGCCGCAAGCATTTTTCCACTTATCCGGGATTAGTAAAAATGCCACATTTAACTAAGTAAACAATTATCATCAGTCAGCTGCATCGAAAGGTAACAAAAACGACGAACTTAATCATTCTGATAGCTTACGGAAATATTAAAGGGACCTTATTATAAAAGATTCATATAATGCTGACCTAGCGTTACCATTATTTTGGCTATACAAAAATATATTGTACATGGACTGTTCTGTGCTCAATTAAAACACACGACGCACAACAAATAAATTACGATTTTTTGCAGTCTAAACTACCGATTCCAGGTTGATTTGAATATTTTTTTTTTCCCGATCTTGGCCAAAATATTTTTTTAAAGGGTACCCTTATGATTTTTATCAAAAAATAAAATTTTTTAGCTGTGAATGCCACTTGATAGGAATTTTTATAACGAATTCAACGAGGTATGACATTCCACGATCTGACCATTATTTCCAAGTGTTTTGATTGAAAAACTGAAAAAATACCTGTTTTTTCTGGATTTTGGCTATTAAAAGGGTTAAGGGTTTTTTTGTTCTAGCTTTTCCAAAATAAGACTTACAGCGAAAAGAATGACTGTTCTGTGTAGCTGACAACCTACACAATCGATTCCAGGAGGTTTTTCCAAATTTCATTTTTTGACCGATTTTCGCATTTTTTCGCATAACACTTGATTTTTTTCCAAATATGGCCCAAAATAAAATTTTTGAGCTGAGTATACCATTCCATTGGAAATTTAGTAACGAATTCAACGAGGCATGACATTCCAAGATCTGACCACTATTTCCCAGGGTTTTGATTGAAAAACTGAAAAAATGAGACGTTTTTTTTCTGGATTTTGGCCATCAAAAACATATATTTAAAACACATTTTTAAGGGTTTTTTCATTGTAGCTTTTCCAAAATAAGACGCACAGCGAAAAGAATGACTGTTCTGTGCAGCTGACAGCCTACACAATCGATTCCAGAAGGTTTTAGTAAATTTCATTTTTTGACCGATTTGCGCATTTTTGATAAGGGGTAACACTTGATTTTTTTCCAAATATGGCCCAAAATAAAATTTTTTAGCTGAGAATACCATTCGATTGGAAATTTTGTAACGAATTCAACGAGGTATGACATTCCAAGACCTGACCATTATTTCCAAGGGTTTTGATTAAAAAACTGAAAAATGCGCTGTTTTTTCTGGGTTTTTTTGTTGTAGCTTTTCCAAAATAAGCCGCACAGCAAATAGAATGACACAATCGATTCCAGGAGGATAGTACTTTTTGGAATGGCAGCCAATTGGAAATATTATGACGAATTCAAAAAACATTTTTCAAAGGTCAGAGCAGAACATTGTCAATGATAAATTTGAGACCACAGTCAACACTAAGGGGTAATGGCCTTATTAATTATGAAAGCTATTACAGTTTTAAGACGAATATAGTTAAAGAAACTATAAACAAAAGATGAAAGATCTATCAATTAGTAGGTCCCACCCACAGTAAAAGTTGTGCATAATTAGTTGTCATAAAAATCTTTATTTGAAATATATAATTTAAGAATCAATATGTCTAAATTAAAAACGAAAACACAGGAATGCGGCTGGAAGATCAGGATCACCATTGGCAAGGAAGTTGGATAATTTCGCCGGGTTGCAGTGTCGTCTTCAGGATTTTCACGGACTTGCCAGGCGTCGTCTCCTTGTTTTACATCTCACCAACGAAGGCGCTCACTTACAAGTACTGATAAATAAATAAATTTCATATTTCCTTTACCTTATTACTAAAACTAAAATACATACCTAAAATTAATAATAAGCTAGTTTCTAATAGAAAAGAGTATTTCATGTTTTAGTATATAGTTACCATTAGATTATCTTAAGTATTTAAGATATAAACACATAGCAATTATTTTATCTACAGATTAAACCATTAAGTACTTATTGTAAGCATGATTTTAAATAAAAATTATTATATATATATATAAAATATAATTTTGTTTTAATTGGGATTGTATTTTCGGGCTTTTAGGCGGGAGATTTAATTTTGTGTCCTTAAACTACCATATAAACTATAAAAGATAGTATTTTTACTATAAACACGGTAATATATTTTGATGAAGTTTGACTTACTAAAAACTACACAAAACTAGTAAATTTTTTGTGAACATAACAAGAGAATCTATACAATCAAGTCCAGGCTGACTTGGTAAATTTTATTTTTTGAGCGATAAAAAACTAAAAAAACGAGCTGTTTTTCTATGGATTTTGTTGTAGCTTTGCCAAAATAAGACTTACAGCGAAAAGAATGACTGTTCTGTGTAGCTGACAGCCTACACAATCGATTCCAGGAGGTTTTAGTAAATTTCATTTTTTGACCGATTTTCGCATTTTTGATAAGGGGTAACACTTGATTTTTTTCCAAATATGGCCCAAAATAAAATTTTTGAGCTGAGTATACCATTCGATTGGAAATTTAGTAACGAATTCAACGAGGTATGACATTCCAAGATCCGACCATTATTTCCAAGGGTTTTGATTAAAAAACTGAAAAATGTATGTGATTTTTCCAGATTTTGGCCAAAAGATTTTTCCTAAGGGGTACCCTCGTGATTTTTTGTGAAAATATATTTGTAAGATTTTTTTTCTGTGAATATCAATGGATTGGAAATTTTATAACGATTAGTTTGTAATCAAGTTGTGCTAAGCCGTTATCAAAGTTCCATACCATGGGTTGAGTCTGCACTAAGACTTCCCAGTTTAAAGCGATCACATCTAATCAGATGTCCTAATCAGTCATAATGTTGCGATTAGAACAATGTTGGCATCCAAAAGTTTGATCGCTTCTCATGATTTGATTGAAAAAGTAAAGAATATAAAATGGTTAATAGAATAGATCAATAAATTCATGCAGGCATTATTTCCAGATGAAGACGTGAACTGCATTGTTTTTTAATACGAGTTCCTTACCTTTTTAGCCCCTTACCAGCACTGGTGCGCCATATGATGCCGATAGATCGTGGCTAATCTATTGGCGCCATTCCGCGCCCACAACTGCCATCGCTAGTGTGTTTTCAGCGCCTTTTTTTGTCGTCTAAAAACAATTGAAGGATTTGCTGGGGAAAAGCGAGCCGCAGGACATAGTAGGACAACAGCAGAATGCCCGCCGGCATTGTGAAGACCCCGAGCAGCGCCAGGACGAAGGATGCCGCCGTGGCGAAGTCCGCGGAGAAGACGGCCAGCGGTGGCAAGAAATTCGTGCAGACGCGTCTGCCTTTCAAGTTGCTAACGCCAGGCGGTGGACCAGGGACCACTGCCTCCGCCTCCGCCCCATCATCCGCATCCTCCTCCGCCGCCGCCCCCGTCACTGTGATCCTGGACGACGATGAGCCCGCTCCCCGCAAGCGAAAGCTCTCGTACGGCGACGAGTCGCCACCGGAGGGCACCGGCTGCTCCGCGGGGCAACTGCGCCGTTCGAACAGCAAGGAGAACCTGGACGTGGGCAGCTCCATAGCCACCAAGAAGGTCAAGACCGCGGCCATGGATGTGGATTCCCTGGCGGAGGATGTCATCGAGCTGGTTGACGATGACGGCGAGGAGATGGCGGCAGAGAAAGAGAAGGAGGAAGATGTGGTGGTGGTGGAGGTCAAGGAGATCAAGCCGAAGCCCAAGAAGCCGGAGATGAAGAAAGCCTCTCCAGCGCCCATACAAATCAAGCTGCCATTGGTCGGCAAACGATCCAAGCGCAGGAAATCCCTGAAGAAGTCCGAGGAATCGGCGGATACTCCGGCCACGGATGCGGGCAAGACGGGCAGCGAGTCCAGCGATGATATAGAAGTTTTATCGGAGGAGCTGAACCCGCAAAAGAAGCAGAAAGTACAGAAGGCGGTCGATCAATCCCCAGAAAAGAGCGCCAAAGCCAAGAAACAGGAAGAGAAGGAGGAGAAGAAGTCCGAGAAGCAGGAGGAGCCCAAGGAGGCGGCAAAGAAAGCCAAGGAAGAACCCAAGACCGCAGAGCAGAACAAGAAGAACGATCAGTCCACGATAGATCTCTTTATGGCCAAAAAAGTGGAAACCAGCAAGAAAGAGAAGCCAGAGACAAAGGCAACAGAGAAGAGCAAGAAGAAAGAACAATCAGTCGCCGAGGATTCCAAGCCGAAAGAAACCCCCGAGAAGGAAACAGCCAAAACTATAGGAAAATCCAAGAAGGAGGAATCAAAACCAGCAAAAAATATCAAGAAAGATGAAACGAAAGCCGGCACAACAAAGTCGCAGAAAGAGAAAGAAGACGCACCTGTAAAGAACCAAAAAGAAGAGCTTGCTCCCGCAAAAAATCAAAAAGAAGAAACGAACGAGAAGATCGTTGTGCCAGCAAGTGCCAAAAATACCCAGAAAAAGGATGCGGCCAAGAAAGCTGAGACACAAACTGTAGAAAATGAGAAAGTCAGCAAGGCCCAAGAGAAAACCAAGAAAGAAGAGCCTTCGGCTCTCGACAAATCAGACAAGGATTCACCCGAAGCCGCCGAGATCTCGGTGATCCTCTCCAGCAGCGAAGGCGACAGCTCCAGCAGCGACCACGAGATGGATGTGGACACGGACACCCCGGCCGCAGGCAGAACCTCTGCGCAAAAGGACGGTCATCTGCTCAGGAAGAGTCTCCCGGAGGCCTCCGATGCCCCGAAGACGCTCACTCCCAAGCAGCAAAGACTCCTGGAGCGAAGGAAAAAGGTTCGCGAGGAGAAGGAGCAAAAACTGGCGGAGGAGCGGCGCCTGAAGCAGCAGGAGAAGGAGCAGCGCGAGCAGCAGAAGAAGCAGGAGCGCGACGAGAAAGAGCAGCAGCGGAAGCTGGAGAAGGACCAGAAGGAGCAGCTGAGAAAGACGGAGAAGGAGGAGAAGGAGCGCAAGCGGCAGGCGGAGGTGGACTCCAAGAACGAGGAGAAGCGCAAGCGCAACGAGGCCAAGGAGGAGGTGCAGCGCAAAAGGGACGAGGAGCGCCGCAAGAAGGAGCAGGAGCGCGAGGAGGCGGAGCAGAAGAAGAAGCGCGCCGCCGAGTCCTTCACCAAGTTCTTTGTGCCCAAGCAGCCCAAGGCCGGCGGCGGATCCAACAACACATCCTATCTGGAGCACGAGCAAAGCAGCTGCGACAGCTCCAAGGCCAGCAGTCAGACGCTGGCCTTCCGACCCTTCCAGATCAAGGACGACATGCTGCTGGCCCCGATCGTGCGCACCTCGATCGGCCAGGAGCAGCGCTCCCAGCTGGACGGTCTCTTTAGGCGCCGGGACGAGGACGATGAAGACGACGAGGAGGAGGACGAAGAAGAGGACATAGGGCGGAGGAAGCCTCCCAATCGGGCTCATCTCTACCTCAGCGAACTGAGCAGCGGGCGACGGGAGCCGCTGAAGATGCTGCGCGATGCCAGACTCCAAAGACGCACCAAGGACGAGGAGGACGAAGACGAGGTCCAAGTGATAGGTGGGTCTCTCCGTGATTTTATTCTTTTTTCACAACTGATCCGTTTGCACTGCCATCAACCCAGATGACCTCTCCACTGCAGGACTGCCTATCTTGGAGGAGCAGCCCAAGCTGCTGGCTAGGATGCGGGCCAAGTATCTGCAGTTTGCGGACAACCGAAGGCCGGCGTACTACGGCACCTGGCGCAAAAAGAGCGCCAGCATCTCCGCTCGTCGTCCACTGGCCCAGGATAAGGTGAGGATTACGCTCTCAAGCCCAAACATCTGACCACAAAAACCAATAACCTTCTTCCACAGCTGCACTTCGACTACGAACTGGACTCCGACTGCGAGTGGGAGGAGGAGGAGCCGGGCGAGTCGCTCAGCGCCAGCGAGGACGAGAAGGAGCGCGAGTCGGAGGAGGAGTCCGAGGAGGAGTACAACGAGTGGTACGTGCCGCACGGCCATCTCAGCGACGAGGAGCTGCAGAACGACGGCGACGAGGGGATGGACGACGGACACACGCGGGAGGCGCAGCAGGCCAAGCTGCAGGTGCTGCAGCAGGAGTTCGCCCAGGAGATGAAGAAGCAGACGAAGAAGATCAAGCCACGCCTGCTGGGCCCCGTTTGGCTGGACGAGAACGGCAACAAGTCGCAGCTGTTCCCGGCGATCTTCGCCCATACCATCGACATGTACGCCTGCTGGCAGCTGGAGCCGCTTAGTCTGGAACCTCCAGCCGAACCGGAGCGCGAGGATCAGCCGCCAGAGCAGCCCGTGCCGCTGCAGCTGGACGAGCGCCTCATGCAGCAGCTGGTGCGCCTGACCCACGGCAACCGGAACTCGAAGGCGTTCCTGATCAACGAGTATTTAGAGTACCTGAGAAACCACACGGCCGCCGAGTCCAATCAACCGCTGCTGCCCTCGAAGACGGTGGTGCGCGAGAAGTTCGACGAGCTGGCCAGCTGGAAGACCGTTGAGCTGGGCACACCCGATGTGGCCTCCAGTGCCAGCAGCGCCAAGAAGACCAAGAAACCGAAGAAGCGGCTCTGCTGGGTGGTGCCCGCCGAACTGCTGCAGAAGTACCAGCTGCCGGAGCTCCCGCTGCAGAATCAATGGGACTACACGCTGACGCCCAAGGTGAACGAGGGCGCGGATGCACCGCAGCACGAGCAGAGTCCGCCAGCGGACGCGGAGACCACCATCTCGCCCGTTGTGACAGCGCCTGCTAAAGCGGCTGCCACAACGCCCACCACTGGACAGACCACTCCGGCGAGTCAGGGCGCCAAGAAGCGGGCCACCCTGATCATGTCCGTGGCGAGGGACCAGCCGATTCACTCGGCCACCAAGAACAAGCTGATCAGCCAGTTTCTGCGACGCCAGAACGAGGCCAAGGAGAAGAAGCAGGAGAAGCCGCCGCCCGCCGTCAGCGAGGATGTGGTGATGCTCTCGGATTAGGCCTAAAATAAACTCTCAAAATAGTGTACTGCCCCTGGTTTTGTGGGTCTGCCTTCTAGTAGGCGTGTGGTCAAAGTATTCACACATTTTTTTTTCGGTAGATTCGCTAGTAAGTTGATTTAAATTTTTAATGTTCCGATGTACGTTTGACTTGTATGTCCTCCTCACCCCCATCCTCATCATCCTGCCCACCCGCATCCACCAACTCATCTGTAGATCTGTTAAGTGGTTCAGCGAAACAAGTACTCACAAACTGTAATTAACACGATACGTTTCGACTTTTTCAATGAACCATCTATACATATATAGTATATATGCAATAAAACATTATCTTGTAATCTTTTATTTGATGGCAATTTTGGGCTAAGAGTGGGATCTTTTCGGCAAGCCGTGCGGCACATATGTATGGCAAAGAGTTTGAAAGAGGCGAAATTTGGAGTACACATTTAAGTGTAATGACTAGGAAACTTGCAGTAATGATAATAAGGCATTAAGTTCTGGAAGACATGGGCAATAAATGAAAATTATATTTCAAAATATCTGGCACAACCTTGCCAGGGATGTCCCAAAATATACTACAACCATACAAATATTAAAATCGATCCTCGTAAAGCGGTTTACTACAAGAACATGCACAGGCAATTATTTCTCTAAATATATTAAATAAAAACATATATTTAATTTATTTTTAAAACTTGTTTGTTTATTCTTTTTGCCATTTTCGTTTTTTTTTTTTCATTAATTAAATTAATTATTAAATATACATTTAGTTAAGATTCCCGACAAAAAAATTACTGTGGCTGCATTATTTAAGTGAATGTGTGGTGTTTGGGTGTTGTCTTTAAAAACGTGGATGTGAAGGTGTGTGGTACAATTAGATCTGCAAGAGTTATCCCATCTACATTTATATACGATTATCCATTAATTATTGCTATTGTAATCGTTGTTTAATTGTTTACTGCTCCCGATATTGATTTACCGCTCGTCCCGCCCCATTTACCCTTCCCCGCCGAAAGTTCGCTTAGCTAACTAAAAGACCCGAGCATTGTGAGGAAATCTCAAGATAAAAAAGTGCGAGTAGAGGTTATTTTTGAAATAACCGGGTTGGTGGAGCGGCTTGTGTAAGGGGGGAGGGGGTTTCGATTTCGATTCCGGTTCCGGATCCGCTCACAATGCTGATTTACAAGACGCACATATAGATTTGTATATACACAAATATGTATCGTTATATTATATATAATAAGGCAAATATGACGAGGGTCAATGAAAAGTGGAATACACATTCTGCGGAGCTCCTTTTTTTTGAGGGGCAGTGCGTTTCAGTCGAGTAAGACCTATATACTCTATGCATTTCAAAGGTGAGCCCTATTATATGTTAAAAGTTATTAGAAATTTAGTGGTATCAGATAAGGCAGTTATTAAAGCAAGCAAGTTGGTCTTAAGTACAAAATATAAACCGAAAAGTGAGCGTTTCCATTTTAAAATTGCATTGCTATTACACCTATGAAACGCACTGCCCTAACGTATTTATGTATTGTCACAGAAACCAGTCATTAATGTGTGTGTATATTGTTTTGATTTAGTGTAAACAGCGAAAAAATCGTTAAGTACTTAGAAGTTAAGATCAAGTCATTTACAAAATCATTTGCATGTTTTCACAATTTAACATATGTCAAGTTTATGTTTTTTTTAGTATGCATGTATGTAGTTAGGGAAGGCCGATATAAAAAATCAAAAAACCTGGCTACAACAAAATGGAAAATTAATTTGAAACAATTTTGCCTGCAGCTTCCTTTGTTTTTTATAGAAACTATTAATTTGAAAACTTAAAAACCTCTCGAATTATTTTCTTTCCATTTGAAACAATCATATTTTTATACCCTACTAGGAATAGTTCCAAAATACCGTCCTTTTCATTTCTAACATGTAAATAAGTGCTTTGATTTCTAAATGAAATAGTTTACAATTGTTCAATCTATAAAATCGACCCAGCCTAAGGTGTGTGATAAGCGTTTTGTTGTCGTTAAAGTTTCCCTTTCTTCCTTTCCATGAAATTTTTTGGTCGTCTTGTCTTTTAAGTTTCCGCCACGCTTGCATCTTCCGCCCTTCCTCGGACTCAAGCTCATGCGTCCTCACCGGCATCGCCTGGGTGAGCCTCCTCCGGCTGGGACTCACTGCGTCAGGGCAGCAGGAGTGGGCGGAAGTAGGCGCGGCAGAAGATCGTCGATGCCGAGGGCGGCAGGTCCTGGTTGCGATAGTACATGTTGCACTCGCGCGGCGTCAGCTTGTCGAACACGGCCGCATAGTCGCGATGGAATGTGGCCAGGTCCACGTTGCCCCGTCCGATGGCGGTCAGGGCCAGGAAGAGGATGTCGCGGTAGAACGAGTGCGACCGCTCCACGCCGTTGCTCTTCAGCTTGTGCCGCTCGTTGGCCAAACGCTTCAGCGGAGTGGCAAAGTCGTTCACCCGGAGGGCCGAAATGATTTGCTGAATGACACTGCAGGGCAGAAAGGAATTCCCGAATTAAAATCAGCACTTTAGAGGGATGCCCCCGCCACTCGATCACTCACTTCTTGTTGATCTGCGCCTGGTCGGTGAGCAGCGCCTTGATGAGCGGACTCGTCGGCTGGGTCTCCCGGTACAGGATGTACATCGGCGAACCACTGGTCTCGCTGTGCAGGCTGAGATTGTCCCACAGGCACTGGATATGCACCGTCTTTACCTTGCTCAGCGGGTCAATGTGCTCCTTGTCACTCTGCATATTGGAAATTAAAAGAAAAAGAGTGATTAGTCTAATTACAAAATTAATATGGAAAATAAAATAATAATTTGATGAATGTATTGATTTTAAAAAGCACTATTTTTAAGGTTGAAGCTTAAAGTAGTCATCAAGAATCCCTCATGTTGAAGAAGTTAATATATAGTTCTTTTAATCATTCACTTACCGGCACGGGCAGACAGAGCTCGGGCAGGTGCGTCTTGCTCTCGATGCGCTCCATCAGCCAGAGCAGGTTCCAGTAGATGATCGGGTGCTCCTCGACGAACTCCGGCTTGATCAGCGCGATGTCGCCGTCCTGGGTGAGTATGTTCTCCAGCTCCTTGCGCAGCACCAGCGGATTCAGATACGGCACGGTCAGGCTGGACTTGTGGCTAGTGCCATTGGCTGGCTGCTCCTTGCCCTCCTCCGGCTGATCCGGCCTATCCGACTGACTGGACTCCTCCGCCTGCCGCTCGATCTGGACGCTGAGGAAGGGCACGGTGAGCTTGTTGCAGGCGTGGCAGGTGGTGTTCAGGTTGGAGTCCTCCGCCGTCCAGCCACTCATGATCTCCTCGTCGTAGACGAGCACCGAGCAGTTGTGGCACTGCGAGCAGGTCGTCAGCTGGATCAGCACGTCGCAGTCGCGATCGGCGGCGCTCTGGGGGATTGAAGGGTAACCGTGAGTAGGCATGCGCTAGTGTGCTATTGTAGTGATAGAGACACTCACCTCGCCGATGAGACTGTACAGGTTGTCGGGCAGAGCGGGAAAGGCGTGCATGTGCAGGGCGCCGGTGGAACTGTTCTCGCCCAGCGGCACCAGGTTGTTGTAGCTGGACTTGCGCGACTCACTGAGCCTGCCCCACGGGTCCAGGTCACTCGAGACGCGCCGCAACTTGCCCTCCTCGTGGACGGCGGCATCGTGCTCCTCCTGCTCTGGATTGTGGTGCTGGTGGTGCGGATGGTGATGCGGATGGTGCAGACCGTGCGGATGGTGCCCGTTGTTCGTCTTCGTCGGCGTCGAGTTGGCCGAGATCACGCCCTTGATCTCGTCGAACTTCTTGGTCAGCGAACTGGCCGCCGACTTGATGCTGCTCAGGCTTCCCTGGATCAACTCGTTCGACTTCTTGCCCGTCAAGCTGGGACTGTGTTGTACAAATATCATGAATTAGTCGGCTTATTATGAACTGCACATTTAATAGATCTACAACGAAACAAGAATGATGTGGAGCCAGCAGCAGCTGATTTATGGGGAGACTTATTGGCGGATTTTGTTAAAAACAAAGGTTTATTTCAAGTTTTTTACAGAACTAGTGCATAACCGGCTTTAATTAAAATGTATTTTTTTATTAAATATATGTTAAATATGACTTCGGAAACAAAAGATATATTAATATACTCCATTTATATAATGTGATAATAAAGTAGAAATCTTTCTATAGTGTTATTTTTGTTTTTAAATATTATAATTATTATAAATCGGATAAGAGTATTCTGAACAGACTTTTTCAGTCGTTTTTAACTATCTAAGATCCAGGAAATCAACTGCTGGTGGTGCTGCTATATATGGTGGTGCGGTGCTTGTGGATGGCCGTCGTTAGTTTGATTTATTCGAGTTAGTGTGGATGCTATGCGTGGCTTTTGTCAAACCTTGAATTGCCCGCCACCAACAAAGTTTTTAAAGGGGACTTTAACTGTAACTATAACTTTAACCGTAACCATAAGCGTAACCATAACCGTAACCATAACCGTAACCATAACCATAACCAAAACCAAAGGCGAAACTCTGTGGAACAGCATTTCGGGGTGTAGAACTAATGTGGAACACAAAACGAAATCAAGAGGTTAGGTCGCAGTTGTGGGTGTTTTTCTTGTGACACTGTGTGTTAGTTGCCGCTATCCACTAATATAATACATAAAATAAATAGTCGTGTTTAAAATAACATAAATATAAGCATGTTGCTAGAATGCGAAGAAAAAAGTACTTTCTTTGAGATATTACTAACATTTAGTCTATAGATCATAAGCACTACCAAAAGTGGAGGCATTGAATTAAAAAAATTTTTTGTGTTAATTGGTGAGTAAGCTTTATAAGAAAACTATTTTTTATAAATAAATTAGTTCTCAACAAAGCTCTATAAAAATATAGAGTTCTGTTATGTCTATATTGCATGTAAATTTGCACCTTTTCAAAAATTAATGATGTCTGTGTGGAACTCATATGGTGTGTATTAATATAATTAATATTCATAAGTGGGATAAGGTGAACAACAAAACACACTTTAAAATTGAATCAGTACAATGTTGAAGCAGAATTTAAATTCGAAAATAAAACATAAAAATGTATATGAAACATGTTACTATCATATTATTGACCCAAAAACCATTTTAAACACTTCCTTCACCTAGGAAACAGAAATTAGTCTTTGAATGCCAGGTGGATCTTGTGGAAAGCAGCACAACACACAATTGGGTGTAGTTTCGGGTATGTGTGTCTAGAAGATCTCTAAGAAAGGTCTCCACTTACCTTATGCTCGATATATTTTCTATAATATTGGCGGGCAATTTCAAGTCTTTCTTAAGGGACAA